AACACTTGAGCTCAAATATGGGATCACCGCAGACCCTGGTTTAGGCATGGGCCAGATAACCCCTTCCCATGTCAGGAATGGAGGAAATTAAAGATATTGTAATCAGATACTGTGTAAAGCAATGAACACAGCTTTTTATATAGGGACAGACTGGTTCAAAAGCAAAACAAGTAAATTCATAACCTATGTGATGTCTCAGTTTTATTTCATCTTGAGTCCTACTGTAAGGTGAGTTTAAAGATGACGCCTCTTACTTTTACCTGGATCTGGTGGGAGAGTGGCTCTGTACCCTGACAGCCAGAGCTCTCAGACTAACTAAGCTGGAGACTACCACCAATGTGGGTAGGTCATGTCTTACTAACTTGATTGAATTTTTCGAGGAGTTGACGAAGATGATCGATTAGGGTAGAGCAGTGGATGTTATCTACATAGATTTTAGTAAGGCTTTTGACAAGGTCCCTCGTGGTAGGCTCATCCAGAAGATTAAGATGCGTGGGATCCATGATGATTTGGCCGATTGGATTCAGAATTGGTTTGCTCATAGAAGGCAGAGAGTAGTGGTAGAAGGGTGTATTTTCTGGCTGGAAGTCCATGAATAGTGATATTCTGCAGAGGTCCGTACTGGGACTTCTGCTGTTTATGATATGTGTAAATGACTTGGATGAAAATATAGATGGTTGGTTTAGTGAGTTTGCAAAGATCAGTGGAGGTTGTCAAAGGATACCACAGGATATAGTTCGGTTGCAGATATGGGTGGAGAAATGGCAGATGGAGTTTAATCCAGGCAAGTGTGAGTTGCTGCATTTTGGGAGATCAAATGTAAAGGAAAAGTATACAGTTAATGGCAGGACCCTGAACAACATTGATATAGAGAGGGACCTTGGGGTTCAAGTCCATAGCTTCCTGAAAGTAACCATGCAAATAGATAGGGTGGTAAAGAAGACATATGGCATGCTTGCCTTTATTGGAGGGGCATTGAGTATAACAGTCAGGATTTTAGCGTGCAGCTTTATAAGACTTTGATTAGGCCGCACTTAGGGTATTGTGTTCAATTTGGATTGCAACATGACAGGAAAGATGTGGAGGCTTTGGAAAGGGTGCAGAAGAGGTTCACCAGGATGCTGCCTGGATTAGAGAGTATGAGCTATAAGGAGAGGCTAGAAAAGCTAGGGTTGTTTTCTTTGAAGCGGCAGAGGCCGAGAGGAGCCTTGATGGAAGTCTATAAAATTATGAGATGCATAGATAGGGGTGACGGTCATAATCTTGGTCCCAGAAATGAAATGTCTAATACTAGGGAGCGTGCATTTAAGATGAGAGGGTGAAAGGCACGGTGGCTCAGTGGTTAGCACTGCTGCCTCATAGTACCAGGGACCTGGGTTCAATTCCACCCTCAGGTGATTGCCTGCGTGGAGGTTGCACATTCTCCCTGTGTCTGTGTCGGTTTCCTCCAGGTGCTCTGGTTTCCTCCCACAGTCCAAAGATGTGCAGGTTAGATGGATTGGCCATACTAAATTGCCTGTAGTGTAGATTGGGTGGACTTGTTGGGCCAAAGGGCCTGTTTCCACACTGTAGGGATTCTATGACATGTGCAGGGCAAGTTTTTTGCACAGAGAATGGTTGGAGTCTGGAGCGCACTGCCAGGGGTAGTCATAAAGTCATAGAGTCCTACAGCACGGAGACAGGCCCTTTGGACCAAACTGGTCCATACCGACCAAAATGTCCATCCACCCTAACCCCATTTCCCTGCTCTTGGCCTGTATCCTTCTAAACCTTTCCTATCCATGTATTTGTCCAAATACCTTTTAAATGTTGTTAATGGATCTGCCTCAACCACATCTGCTGGCAGTTCATTCCATATGCATACCACCCTCTGTGTAAAAATGTTCCCCCTCAGGTTCCAATGTAATCTTTTCCCCTTACCTCAAACTGTTGCCCTCTAGTCCTCAATTCCCCAACCCTGGGAAAAAGACTAAGTGAATTTAGCCTATCCATGCCTCTCATGATCTTATACACTTCTATACGATCCCCTCTCAATCTCTTACGCTCTAAGGAAAAATGTCCTAGCTTGTCCAACCTCTCCCTATAACTCAGTCCCTTGAGTCCTGGCAACATCCTCGTAAATTTCTTCTGCACTCTTTCCAGTTTAATAACATCCTTCCTGTTGGCAAGATAATCAAAACTGAACATAATGCTCCAAGTTCGGCCTCACCAACATCATGTACAACTGCATCATAACTTCCCGACTTCTATGCTCAGTACTCTGACTGATGAAGGCCAGCATGCCCAAAGCCTTCTTCACTGCCCTATCTACCAGTGAATTCCACTTTCAGAGAACTGTGCACCTAAACTCCGAGGTCCCTCTCTTCCACTAAACTCCTTAAGGCCCTACCATTCACCATGAATGGTGGTGATGGAGGCAGATACGATAGCGGTGTTTAAGAGACTTTTAGAAAAGCACATGAATATTCAAGGAATGGAAGTATATGGACCAAGGACAGGCAGCAGGGACTAGTTTAATTTGGTATCATGTTTGGCACAATGTGGGCCGAAGGGCCTGTTCCTGTGCTGTACTGTTCTATGTTTTATGTTCTAACAACCCCACCCCTACCCAATGAGGCCAAGACTCAGGCTCAACATCCTACAAAAGCTGACTGACAGTACTCCTGGGCTGGCTCTGGCCTTGTTGTCAGCGACGGATTGACACCTCCTTGCCTGCCTGCCATCTTGCTCCTCCAAACATTGATCCTGTCCTTTAAGGAGCTCGAAGAGTGTGAGAGAAAGAACCTCTGTTTGGAGAAGGAACACCCCACAGGTTCCATCTCTCCCACATATGACAGCAGGTTTTCTGTCATTGATTATGCTGTGATTGAATATTTATAGCCTTTTTGGGGATTTGGAGGGAAAATTTGCCTGTCGCTCCTCATATACTTTTAGCATCCCTCTCAGTTTGTCCTTCTGGATAGAAGCAGTCATGGATTTAGAAAGTGCTGTCTAAGGAGCATTGGTGAATTTCTGCAGTTCATCTTCTAGATGGCACATACTGCTGCTGGTGAGCATCAGTGGTTGAGGTAGTGAATGTTTGTGAGAATCAAGTCGACTGGATTGTTCTGAATGGTGTCAAGCTTCCTGAGTGATTTTGGGGCTGGGTTGGACACAGCCTCTACTATTTAAAGTGAAAGTAAAGCTTCCTGTTCACTGTCTCAGGTACAGTGCAGGATTAGATATGGAGTAAAGCCCTATCTACTCTTCTAAACTTAAATTAAACTGAAAGTAAAAGTTCCTTGACACTGTCCCTGCATTCTTAGGACAGGTACAGCAGGGGTTAGGATTAGATAAAACTTCCTCTTCTCCTTTAAACTGAAAGTAAAGCTCTCCATCAAACACTCCCAGAATAAATACTGCACAGTTCTAAGGGTCACTTGACCCTAAATTTTAACTCTGATTTCTTTCCACAGATGATGCCAGATCTGCTGAGCTTTTCCAGCAATTTCTATTTTTGCATCTATATACCACACAGGGTTAGATACATTTAATGCTTATTTTCAACTTTCATAAAACACCCCAGGATTTCCATGATCCTTCTGACTTAAAAGTGACACTTCTCAGTGTAAGCAATGATGTGGAGGTGTCGGTATTGGACTTGGGTGGACAAGGTCAAAAATCACACAACACCGGGTTATAGTCCAACAGGTTTATTTGAAGACACAAGCTTTCGGAGTCTCACTCCTTCTTCAGGTGTCAGTGAGAAAGGTGGCATCAGAGACAGAATTTATTAGCAAAAGATCAGATGGTTATAGAACTGATGTGGTGTTGAACAAAACTAAGATTGCTATTAAATCTTTAATCAGTTAGAAACGATTAATAACCAGCTTCAGATAGTCGGGTAAACATCCGCCTTGGAGGACATATATCTGAAAATCCGAGGCTGGATGTCCTTGACCGCTTAAGTGTTCCCCCACTGGGAGGAAACGTCCCTGTCTGACGATTGTTGCGGAAAGCGGACTGCAGGATACACAACAAGGCAGAGTCGCCCAGCAGAGGCTGATAGCCAAGTTCAGTACCCGTGAGGATGGCCTCAACTGGGATCTTGGGTTCATGTAGCACTACAAGTGACCCCACCACACTATACACTCTCACACATGCACACATACACACAGACTCTCTCACACAAGCACACTCACACACACACTCGCACAGACCCTCTCAAGCACATACACACATACACACACGCACTCTCTCTCTCTCACACACATACACTCATAAATCTATGGGGTGAATTTGTATTTGCAGATTTGTAATTGTAGATACATTCTATTTTGTTCAAAAAGCATATAATTTGTAGACTGTCAAGGTGGAATTTTATAAATTTCTACTTTGGAAATAAAACTAGTCTGACTCCAAGTCGATACACAGCCAGATTCTAAACAAGGCCTCACACTTAAAATGCATTGTCTGACCTGGGATGTCACCTCTGGTATACTGAGGGAATTGATAAAACCTTCGGTTATCTCGGAGCAGTGAATTGAAAGAAATTTGGGAATTTGCATGTTAATTATTTCTAACTGATTAAAGATTTAACAGCAATCTTAGTTTTGTTCAACACTGCGTAGTTCTATGACCCTTTGAACTTTTGCTTATAAAATCTGTGTCTGATGCCACCTTTCTCACTCAGACCTGAAGAAGGAGTGAGACTCCGAAAGCTTGTGTCTTCAAATAAACCTGTTGGACTATAACCTGGTGTTGTGTGATTTCTAACAGTGTGAGCAATTACACACTTAGCGTGAACAGACTCTTACTGATAAACATAGTTAGTTTGTGCAGTATAACTCTGGTAATCTTAATCCAGCTATGTAATGTGTACAATCACAATGTGCCTTTGAGTTTAAAACTGAGAAATAGTCATGAACTAAATGACAACTAGTTAGAAAGCATTGACAGAATATTGTGAATGCCATTGAACCAACTCCCCAATAAGTGGAGCTTCGGCCAAGACAACTTACCCATCTCTTCTGCGAAAAAGACTTGGGGAGTAGGGAGGCTGGAAGGTCATGTTCATCCAGGGGAAGGCTGTCGCGAATTTTGCCTTTGGGAATCAAGTGAGATCACAAGGAGGAGGAATTAGAGAAGGAGGGAGGAATGATGCCAGGACTTGGGAGATGTGTTTGGATTCTATGTTCTCTTGCAAATTACTGGGTATTGTCTTCTGACAGCAGCAAGAAAAACATGTGACTGAAAAAGATTGTAAACAAGGAGAGAGGAGGGAAAACAATGGCCCCATTGAAGAGTGGCTCAGTTCCCAGTTTAAAGTAAACGCACAGAGCACTCAACAAATAATAACATAAGGACAGACCAAGGGGTGACAGTCTCTGAGAGATCACAGTATACGCTCACACCACAGGAATACACACACCAACAGTGAATGCACTCACACAGGACTCTACACACGACTGACAACACACTGCACATACTTAGACTAACAGTGAACACACACACTAAGACTAGCAGACTCACACCAACAATAAAAGCACTCACACCAACACTCTGTGTACACACCAACGGTGAACTCACTCAAACCAACAGTGAACTCACTCAAATCAACATTCAATGCACCAAATCCAAGATTGAACACACTAATGCCAAGATTGAACACTTTCACACCAACACGGAGCTCACTCAAACCAAGACTGAACACACTCACACCAACAGTGTACGATCTGCCTGTATAGCATGCAAAAAAATATTTTCACTGTATCACTATACATCTGAAACAAAAAAAATCAATCACTGAGCAACTCAAAACAAAAACACGCACACAAAAAGACTGGGCACACTCAAGTAGAGATCACACTAACACCAACACTGCGCGCTCACACCAACACTGCGTGCTCACACCAACACTGCATGCGCTCACACCAACACTGCGCTCACACCAATACCATGCTGTCACCAACACTGCACTCACACCAGTACTGAGCAGCTTCACAGCAACGGTGAAGACACTCAAACCATGACGGAACACACAAAACTGAACAGACACATTTCCAAGACTAAACACAAACCAGCGCTGAACACACTCACACATACAAGACCAAACAAATTCATATCAAATCTGAGCACACTTACATCAGCCCTGAGCCCTATCACAACAACACTCCTGAGCACACTCACCTACAGTTTATAATTTGTTGGAGTGAAAAAGTAGTTTTACCTTAATCACGGAAAATCGAAATGAGATGTAATGAGATAGAACATGAGAGGAACTGATTCTGGGTAGTTTTTCATCATGTGTGGTTATCAGAGCAATAATCAAATTCCATCACCAAAAATCACAGTCATACCATAAACTGCGGTTAGACTGGCTGAAGATAGAGGCTATTCAAAATAAGTGTTTAAGAGGCTGAGGATATCTAGTGTGTATTTATATTGAAGCAGACTTCTCATGGGGAAGTAAAGATAGTCCAGAGAAGATTCGCTCAGCAGATACTAGGTATGGAGGGACTGTTGTAGGATTTGAAGGAATTGGACCAGGACTTGTCTGATGTTTTTCAAATGCTGAGCCATATATCAACTTTTCTTTCACTCAGTGGCAGTGAAAAACTTCAAATAAATATGATTTTGACCAACAATAAACATGAGTTTCAGATTCATAACAAGTTCAATCAATAAATTGATTATTTAAAGGAGTTATGAAACTGTCAAACATCAGAACTAAATAGTGTTTAGTGGCACAGTGGCTGAGTGGTCAGCACTGCTGCCTCACAGCACCAGGAACCTGGGTTCAATTCTACCCTTGGGTGACTGTGTGGAGTTTGCACGTTCTCCCTATGTCTGTATGGGTTTCTTCTGGGTCCCCTGGTTTCCTCCCACAGTCCAAAGATGTGCAGGTTAGGTGGATTGGCCATGCTAAATTGCCTGTAATGTTCAGGGATGTGTAGATTAGGTGGGTTATAGTGGGGGTTGGGTCTGGGTGGGATGCTCTGTGGGATCGTGTGGACTTGTTGGGCTGAAGGGCCTGTTTCCACACTGTAGGGATTCTATGAATCAATGATGATTTGCATTCTGACTAGGCTCTGTGACCAGTGGACTTGCAGTTGGCATTTGATAAGGTGTCACAAAAAAAACACAAGGTGAGTTCACATGGGCTTGGGTAATTTATTAGCTTAGATAGAGGATTGGCTAACCAACTGAAAGCAGAGAGTCAGGACAAATGGGTCTTTATGTGTGTGGTGGCAAGATGTAACTAGTTGGGTGCCATAGGGTTTGGTCCTCTGGTCCTAACGATTTACAATTTATTGTGATGACTTGGGTATCGGGAGGGAAGGTACTATAGCCAAATTTGTAGATGACACAAAAAAAATGGAAAGATAAGTTGTAACAAAGAAATAAGAAATTTAGAAAAAAGAACAGTACCACATGGGAACTGTGCCAGCACATGATGCATTTCTAAATTAAGAGGGTTTTGCCTCTATGCGGTTCAAATCCCTCTATTCCCTGCATTTTTCATGTGTCTGTCAAGATGCTCTTTAAAAATTGGTATTGTATCTACTTATACTACCCCCTCTGGCAGTGCATTCCAGGCACTTACCACCCTCTGTGTAAAAAACTTGCCTCTCACATCTCCTTTAAATTTTCCGTCTTTTAGAACATAGAACATAGAACATTACAGTGCAGTACAGGCCCTTCGGCCCTTGATGTTGCGCCGACCTGTGAAACCAATCTGAAGCCCATCTAACCTATACTATTCCATTATCATCCATATGTTTATCCAATGACCATTTAAATGCCTTTAAAGTTGGTGAGTCTACTGCTGTTGCAGGCAGGGCATTCCAAACCCTTACTACTCTCTGAGTAAAGAACCTACCTCTGACATCTGTCCTATATCTGTCACCCCACAATTTAAAGCTATGTCCCCTCGTGCTAGCCATCACCATCCGAGGAAAAAGGCTCTCACTGTCCACCCTATCTAATCCTCTGATCATCTTGTATGTTTCTATTAAGTCACCTCTTAACCTTCTTCTCTCTAACGAAAACAGCCTCAAGTCCCTCAGCCTTTCCTCATAAGACCTTCCCTCCATACCAGACAACATCCTGGTAAATCTCCTCTGCACCCTTTCCAATGCTTCCACATCCTTCCTATAATGAGGCCTACGTCCTGTAGAAATTGAAATTACTACCCTGGGAAAAAATACTCTGATTATCTACCCATCTCAATTTTGTAAACCTCTATCAGGTTGCCCCTCAGCTTCCAATGTTCAAGTGAAAACAAACAGAGTTTGTCCAATCTCTCTTCATAGCTGATACCCTCGAAAGCAGACAATATCCTGGTAAACCTTTTCTGTACTCCAGCCAAAGCCTCCATATTTTTCTGGTAGTGTGACAATCAGGACTGTTTGCAATATTCCAAATGAATCCTAACTCAATTTCTATTCAAAAAACCGAAAGAACTGCAGATACTGTAAATCAAGAACAAAAATATAAGTTTCTGGTAAAGCTCAGCAGGTCTGGCAGCATCTATGAAGTAAAATCAGAGTTAATGTTTTGGGTCTGGTGATCCTTCCTCAGAACTGATGGTAGCTAGGAAAATTTCAGTTTATATGCAGAAGATAGGGTGCAGGAGGGGTTCAGGAGTAAACGATAGGTGGGATAGAGTCCAAAGAGAGAGAAGAACAGTTGGACAGACAAAGGAGTGGACAACCATCTAGCTATGAAGGTGAATAACTGTCAATGGAGACTGTTAGTGGCTAACAACAGGTATGCGTAATGGCAGGCCAAGACACAGTAAGGACTGCAGATGCTGGAAGTCACAGTCGATAAAATATGGAGCTGAAGGAGCACAACAGATCAGGCAGCGTCAGAGGAGGAGGAAAGTTGACATTTTGGGTCTGGACCCTTCACCAGGTCTGGGGAGGGGGAAGGGAGCTCAGAAATAAATCGGAAGCATGGGGCTGGGGGAAGGTAGATGAGGTGGTGATAAAATGGATGCATGTAGGAGGTTGTAGAAATTGGTCAGTGGGAAGGATGGAGCAGATAGGTGAGAAGGAAGATGGACAGGTTGTAGGAGGAGGCCCAGGATGGACATGTCGCCAAGGGAGTGGGAGGGGGAGTTGAAATGGCTGGTAACCAGAAGTTGGTGTTGATTGAAGTGCGTCGAGCGCAGACGCTCCGTGAATCGGTCCCCAAGACTGCGCTTAGTCTCACCGATATAGAGGATACTACATCAGGAGCAAACGGATGCAGTGGACCAGGTTAGAAGATGTATCTATTAGAAGAATCTCGGTCGGATATGGAATGATTGTTTGGGGCCTTGGATGAAGATGAGCGGGGAGGTGTAGGAGCAGGTGTAGCACTTCCTGTAGTTGCAGGGAAAAGTGCTGGGTATGGTGAGAAGGTTGATGGCAAGTCTGAAGCTACTCTAGCAACTTCAATTTCTATATAACTGCAACGAGACTTGGGGGACGCGATGGCCTCATGGTATTATCATTGGACTGTTAATCCAGAGACCCAGATAACATTCTGGGGACCTGGGTTTTTTTTATCTATTCATTTTTTGCGGGTTGCGGGCGTTGCTGGCTGGCCAGCATTTCTTGCCCATCCCTAATGGCCCTTGAGAAGGTGGTGGTGATCTGCCTTCATGAACCGCTGCAGTCCTCCTGCTGTGGGGTGACCCATAATACTATTAGGGAGGGAATTCCAGGATCTTGACCAGCGACAATGAAGGAATGGCAATATATTTCAAGTTAGGATGGTGAGTGACTTGAAGGGGAACTTGAAGGTGGTGATGTTCGCATATGTCTGATGCCCTTGTCCCTCTAGATGGAAGTGGTCGTGGGTTTGGAAGGTGCTGTCTGAGGATCTTTGGTGAATTCCTGCAGTGCATCTTGTCGATAGTATACACTGCTGCTACTGAGTGGCAGTGGTGGAGTGAGTGAATGCTTGTGGATGTAGTGCCAATCAAGCAGGCTGCTTTTTCCTGGATGGTTTCAAGCTTCTTGAGTGCTGTCGGGGCTGCAACTCCTGACTTGTGCCTTGTAGGTGGTGGACAGGCTTTAAGGAGTAAGGAGGTGAGTTACTCGTTGCAGTATT